CAAACATGGTTTCTCTGTGTGTCGGTGAGGGTGTTCCTGATGAGATTAGCATTTGAATTGGGCTACAGCAATCTGGGTGAGCATTATCCAATCTATGGACAACCTGAACAGGACAAAAGGAAAAGAAGAAGGAGGGATTCACCCCCTTTTCCTGTCCCACTGTTTGAGATGCAACATCTTCTGTCCTCAGACTGGGATTTACACCACCAGCCACCTGGTTCTCAGGCTTTTGGACTTGGACTGAATTACCCCACCAGCTTTCTCAGGTCTCTCACTTGCAGACAGCACATTGTGGGACTGCTCAGCCTCCATAATTGTGTGAGCCAATTTCTCGTAACGAATCTCTTGATATATGTATGGATGTATCCTGTTTCTCTGAAAAACCCTAACATAACTAGTAATGAAAAAATGAATGATTTCAAAGTGCCAATTATGCATCAAGTACCATTACTGGGATCTTCTGTACACTTTGTTCATTCAGACATTTATTAACTCTCTGAAGGCCTAATGTTTGCCATGTGCTGTGCTAAACCAAGCAAGGGGGCAAAAAGTCCAAGACATGGCCCTGCCAGAGACTGAAAGTAACCTGCACTAAATTTCCATAAGGATTGTTACTGTCCTCACTCTACGGAAGAGGAATAGAAGCGCAGGACAATTATGGGGCTTATCTAAGGTTGCACAGAGAGAACATGGCAGACACAGGCCTGATGCCCAGGCCTGTCTGAATCCATGTGTATGCTCTTTCTCTACTACACAGCCGCTTTCTATTAACCTCAAATTCTAGAACAAGTTATTTCATTGACCTCCAAGCACTTGGAAAAGGAGGTGGTAATCCTAGGTGACAATGCAAAAACATAGTCAAACTAAATGGCAAAATAAAGCCATCACTCCCTCTCAGGCGGCTTCTGGTCTGGCAAAGCTATAGAAATTCCATGTATCTCCAATTCAGTGTCATTTTAATGACATTTTCATCTCTGGTCTGAACAAAATGGAAATATGTTGCCAGGATGAGGACAATGTGAGGGGAATCATTGTATGGTGAATGAGGGAAGCCAAAGTGTGTTATTGATAGATGGCTGTCAAACTAGGTGACAGTGACTTGCCACAGTGCTCTGTCCTTGGCCTGGTCCCATTCATATATTTGTTCATTCACACACACACACACACACACACACACACACAATAATTTATTGAGTGGTGATGATAAAAGGCTCTCTATCAGACACAGGGTATCTGTGGAGAACACCAGAATGTGCCATCTAGATTTCTCTTCATAAGGGCCTCTCATACCTGCTGTTGAGAGTACTACTAGAAGACAGCCTTCAACTGTTCACACATCGGGATCTGCCTCAACTGCAAGGTCATGCCCAAGGTCATGCCCCTTCTCAGCCTGCCCTCATGGGAGTACTGACTGATGTAACAGTAAAGGTTATTCATCTTAGTGAAACTCAGGTCTACCCATGAAGGGTCATTTCAGCTCTGGAGCTCCAATGTGATCAGTTGAGCTTAACTTCTCCCTCTGCCCATCCGACCCGACAGGTGTTGAAAACAAGGTCATTCCTTAATAAACATCCTGCACATTAAACTTAAACCTCGAGCTGGAATCAGTCTGCTTCATGGAAAACCCACTGTGAAAAGGAGGGGCTCTGTACTTTGTTCATCCTCTAAAGAGCACAGCTATAACCAAGGACAAAAATTATACAGAGATAGCATTTGCGTTTAATAATTTTCTTTCAACAGTGAAACAGCCTGCCTCAAAAAGTACCAAATTTTGTAAGACAGAGGTAGCACTATTACTTTCAGAAGGGTCTTTCAACCAAAAAAGTTAGTACTTTAATTAAATTTGTTTTTGTTTATCCTGCTGCTGGCTGGCACACAGCACAGTATCACTGACATTTAGATATTAGTATTAAGAAATTTTTAAAAGAAAACTTCCTAGATTTTGGGAATACTTTGAAGGCAAATGAGAAAATAATTCCATTTTCCAATGAATTTCAAAAGCAATCTGAGATTATTTAAGACATAGTAGCAAAAACTGTCAATGTCCACATCAATCTCCCATATCTAACTCCTTTGTCTTTTAGTAACAGAATCCAGAATTTTAGCTGGTAACATGTCTATCCAGCCAAAGACTACATCTCCCAGACTCCCTTTTAGTTAATGTGACCATGTGACTAAATTACGACCAATGGGATCTGAGTGGTGGTGATGGGTGCAACTTCGAAGTTAAATCCTTAAAGAAAATCACTCGCCTTTTATTTTTTATTCCCTCCATCCTGAGGCTGGAACATGGTGGTCATTGATGGTGCTAAGGCATCAGGACCCTAGTAAAGGTAGAGCAGTAATACAGAAAGTCCCTGGGTTCTTGAATGATCCCTGGAGTAAGACCTTATTACTGATTTGGATTATCACCTTTGACTTTTCTATGGGAGAGAAATAAACCACATATTCTGTTTAAGCCACTACCATTTTGTTAAAGTATTTCTAGCAATATTCTAACTTGTACAGACGGCAAATCAACAACTGAAATGTGGGTGATATTCAGCCTTTGCCTTATCAGCATGGTATCTTACCAGGAAACTACCACATGATAAGAATAGAAATTAACTTGTTTTACCTGTTGAGTTTATTTTAAAATTCTTTAAAAAGAAATGGAAATCCAACATAAACCATAGTTATGAATAGTTCACTATTTGGAATTTCCTCTGTTTCTATTAGTGTATGTAATGACTGATTATTTTGTAGAATAAGAACCACAACTAAATGAAATATTCTGATATATCATTAACTAGTGTAGGCTCTATTTCTCTTTTTCACACCTGAGTTAAGTGTAGATATATAAATACTCTGATTGTTTTACTAGGAACATCTAAAGTTGCACAACTTATTTGTTACTTTTATCATGGTACTAACTGAATTACAGAAGGTTATTGCTACATATCCGGTTTTGGAGACAATGTACTAGATACATGAATACAGGTACACATGAAAGAATATGTTTTTAGTTATACTGTTCCTTTATACTTATGTATACCCAGAAACATGCATATCTTTTCTAAGGTAGCTCATTCTTGTATACTAAATATAAAAAAGTCAAAAATATTTGCAAATCATAGTAATGACAAAGCCAGGTTCTCGTATTAGAGAGAACAAGCTGAGGGTGCAGGGATAGTGGTGATAGGGGAATCCGAGGGTCTTTCAGTTTGTGGTGTTGCTGGTATGCACAGCCTAACTCTATTATTACTTTTCCTGAGTGTCTCCCCTTTATTTTCACACTGCTTTCCCAAACATCTTTTTAATAGAATATTAACCACACCATGCCAATATATCACCTTTAAAAAAGGTGCTGGGAGAGCTCAGAGGAAGCAGCCACTCTTCTTGCTGCATCCTCAGCAGCACTTCTGGTTGGAGGAATATCCAGCAGGTGACTTGGGCATACATATTCTTTTTGATACAGGGCATTTCTTCTTCTCTAGGTTCAACTAGCTTTCAGCATATATCTACCATGTGTCTGGCTGTTCTAGTAAGTTTTCTTTCTTATACATTTAATCCTGTGAACTTGCCTTTCACACTTAACCCAGGAAGCTTCCAAATGCCTACTAAGTTTATTACAACCCACAGAGAAGTGGATATAAATTGGTTTCAGGTGCTTAAATAGATTTTCACAATTAATAAAAAAGATTCAGTAAGTGAGAAATGATTTGAAAGATGTCAACTGAAAAATAAAAGTGTGTGCAATTTAAAACACTCCCATTACTTGAAATCACTGGTACTACAGACCAATACATCAGTATAACAGACCAATATGTGAGTTTAAAATCTGGACCGTCCATGTGGCAGGGAAAGAAAACTAATATTCTTCATGTCTCCCTTTTCAGGAAGACATCTTAAGGTAACAAATCAGCACATGATTAAAAATTACCTGAAATATCATTTGCTGTGGTTGATAACTATTAGAGATCCTTTTAGTTGTCACTAACAGTAGTGATAAAGGTCATTATAAACACTAAGCACTGAAGAAGTGTCATTATAGACTTTATTCATCCCAGGCAGTCATCTATCAAAGGATAGATGATTACAACTCCTTTAGAAAGGTTAGCTGGGATATTTCCAGAAGCGTCACAAAAGTGGTTCAGCATTTGTTAACTACTTCATTAGGGGGAATGCTATAGGGAGATCACATCTCTCTGAAGAAGGTGCCAAGAAACATATTAGGGGCTAGCTTGAGAGCCTTCAGCTGATCTTCATAGCTACTTTTAGAAAACAATTATAGAATTTATCAAACAACAAAGAGAAAATACTATAAATGTTGGAACTTAGAATTCAAGAACTAAAGAAATTTAATAGATGGGAATTGGAGGAAGGAAGTATAAACTGTGGAAAAAATACCAATTTGAGTAAAACAAGGCATACCTGTATTTGAGGGGCCTAAAAGATAATAGTACTTAAGATAATTGATAATAAAACATAGTGAAGATTATGAGTTTTAATATATTTCTAGACTATGATCTATGATACTATAGTAATATATTTTTTTGAAGCATAACAATAAAAATTTTTTTAAGAAAAGTAATTTTCTTAGTTTTCTTCCCAGGAATTTCTATATGTTATATCATAAAAATAGACACTAACATATGTTTTTAAAAATCACTGTCAGTATATATATAAACTTTATATTGTTTTTAATTGCTTCAGAAGTAAGTCTAGATAATCTGTTTTTTTTTTTTCATTTGCAAATACTTTCAGGAAAGTAAGTACAAAAAAAAAAAAAAAGAAATGTGGTCCTATGCATTTTTACCATTTTGAAAAGCACAAGAAATGCAATGTAAAATGAATATAACTTTCTAAAGCTAGAATGAACTGTTTATGGTTTGCAGAGTTCATTAAATGTTGACCATATGCAGCCATCAGTTTAACGAGTTTCTGCTCTACTTAATGCATATGGGCAGAACACAGCTCTCCTTCAACCTCACCCAAGCTTGACATAAAAAACCACTCACCACCGGTGATGGGGAAAGCGCAATGTTGCCTATCGATGCCTTCAGTTCATCTACAGTTGCAGCATTTTTAAGAATGTCTTTAGATTGCAATGGCTTAATCTTGATATTAAATTTCTTGTGTGACTCTTCTTCTTCTTCTGATTCACTTGAAGAATAAAAGTGCTTTCCTTTGGTAGGTAGAACACAGTTAAAGATACATAACTTTTTTTTACTGTAAGGCAGTGATGAGTATAAGACAGGAGTGACTGCACCTAGAGGCAGCAAAAATACCCTTAAAGGTGGCAGCAAATCAAAGCAAAACAACGAAATAAAAGAGTAAATCAGGCAAGGGTTAGAATTTCTTCACCTTCCCTTGGAACATGATTAAGGATGGTGAATTTCAAGGAGCAATAATTATAATGTGCTACACTTTTGCTGCAGTTGGATATTTGGTGTGTCACACTCAGTACACACATTGATAAACCCTCTACAGGGAGAGGAAAGTCATCCTAATGGATGATTTGTGATGACTTTTAAGTGTTTCAGAGTGTGACCTGTTCTGCCCAGAGATGATGTGTGCAGAAAGCACAAGTCACAGCTATTTGTCAGTCATGAAAAATGATACTGTCACATCAGGCCTTCGCAGACAACCCTGTATCCACAATTTACACAACTGTTTTTCAGCACATTTTTCTCTTTTCCCTTCCTCTCTTCTATGAATAGATCAAGGCCAAATGCCTGCTTGTTAGTCATCAGGCTGTTGTCTGTGCTGTTTAATCATTGCTAATACTATAGAACAGGATTTGGGAAGCTTGGGTTATTTCAATACCTTTTTAAAACCTGAATTTATAATACTGCTTTATGAGACAAAATAAACATTAAAAGAAAAAAAATAAAGAAAGGATATAGCCAGGTTCCTCAGGTCTGATGCTGTAGCCTTCTTCATCCAGCTCAGGTGAGTTCTATAAAATACAAGTACGCACAATGCAATTATTATCCTGACAATAATCAAGGAATTACTCATTTTCCTTCTAAAGCATTCTACTTAAGGATATAAACATGTCTCTTATTTTTGGAGGTGAAGATTTTAATTTTTTTAATTGAATGCTCAGCAGTATATTTTTAAGTATTTATTCAAGGGTACCTGGGGAGTCTTACTACTGGGAAAACAAACTAGGAATCAATAATGGTCAATAAAAGGAAACAGAGAATTTATCATGCATTTTCTGTAAGCAAAGGACTGTGATAAGCAACATGAAGGGATATAAAATGAAAATTATTTGTCTTTTGGAAAGTTGAAATGTATTTTGGTAGGCAAAAAGTAAAAAACAAAAATAAAACAAGACATCAGTGATAGGAGTCTGAAGAGGAAATTAATGAGGTTGAAAGAATCGGGGATCTGCATGTGCCTTTTGGGATAGAGAGAGAAGGCAGATGGGGCTTGTTGGTGGGGAAGAGCCTATATTGAGACCCCACCACAGAAACCAACAGTATTATTCAGATGGTATGACTGGGTAAGAAGCTGGACAGTGGAAGGCCATGGGAAATAAGACCATGGGTGGCCAACATGCTGGGGCAGATTTCAGGCTTGGTATTGCTACTGCAGCTTCTTAATCAGGAAAGGACAAGCTGAAAGAAGCATCTTAAGATGTTTAGGAAGTACACTTTTGGACAGGCTGGGCACAGAAGAAAATGGAGAAGTGAAAACTAATTAAAAAATACTTGCGTTATGCCAGTAAGACGTGCTAAGAATACAGACAAAGTTGGTGGTGGTGGGAAGGGATGAATCAAGGACATTTGGAAGGACAAATTGTTAGTTCTTGTTAAAAGATCTATCATAGGAGAAAAAGGAGAGGGAAGGGTCAATAAAACTCCAAGGTTTCTACTCTCAAATCCTAGATTAATGGTACTCCTCGCTGAACTAATTGTAGCAGCAGACAACTAACATTTTTAGAAAAAAGACAGGAAAGATAAAAGACAGTTTGCATGATTGGAATTAGTTATCATATTTTAGTTCCTATTATAAGCACTATGACCTACACTTTATTTCACTGAAACTTCATAACAATCATATGTGGAAAGAATTATTCTATTCAACAAGGAGGAAATTAAGAGAAATCAGATGCCATTTCTCAAGTAATCTACCCAGCAAATGGCAGACCTACTCCTTGGTCCCAGGTATTTGAGACAAAACCCTACATGGGGAAAGGGAGAATGGGAAGAAGGTGAAGAGTTCAAGGGTGGCCCTCTTTAAGGTGAAATAATAGGCCTGGAAGTTAGAGAGAACAGAGCTGGAGGGAGAGATTTTGCAGTCACAGAAGCAATAAAAGTGCCATGACCTTGGGGAGAAAAGAGGAGCTGAATCCATGGAAAAGCCACGTTTATTTATTTTGTAGTTTCCCTCTTGTCCTTCTTCAGTACTCAGCTTACTTTTTTTTTTCCTTTTCAAATACAAGTGTATTAAGGTCACTTCCCTGCTAAAAACTTGTCCCTGTCTTCTCACTGCACTCAGAATAAAAGCCCAGTGCCTGGGTATAGCCCACCAGCCCCTGCAGTGGCTCCTGATACTCTCTCTAGGCTCAAGCCTAGATTCTCTTCCCTGATCCCTCTCAGCCACAAAGCCTTCTTCCCACTGTTAACTTTCAGGATGTGAATGCTGCAAGTTCTCCCCATCTCCCATTTCAGAGTCCTCATAAATGCCATTCTCTCTGCCTGGAATTCTCTTCCCTCAAATGGTCAGTCAGTCAACCCCAGCTTATACTTCAGGGCTTTGCTTAAAGGTCATATCCTCCCTGAGGCCATCCCTGCCAAAAGCAAGGTGATATCATGTATTAAGAATAAAACTCTTCTTATTACTTAGAGGGGTTACTTCTTATTACTTGGATATAATTACTACTTGTATCTAATGTATTAATAATTATAATAGCAATTCCTATGTGGCTTTATTAATTTTTAGGAATAAAGAAATTTGAGACAAGTTCTGCTTCAGTTGAGCACTTACATGTTGACCAGGACAGCACTGGGGTTTAGAGTGTGTGTGCTACATGAGGGGGTAGTAAGTGCAGTAGAACTTGATGAGTAATTTGGTATTTTAATTATCTTCTTGTTTGTTTAGAGTACCACATTAAAGCATATTTAAGAATCCTAGAAAATTATAACAAGAGTCTTTGTAGGAAAAAAGAATTAATTTAAAAAAATCACCCTTTCTTAATATCTCACGGCTTCTCTTATAACATCGTTTATGACCAAATAATTAGATTGTTAAATCCTTGCAACAATGTTACAACATAACCACTGACTTAATTTTTTACTAGCTAAGCAAATAACTATCCCAAAGCCATGCAGAGCTGACTTGTGGAGGGGCTAGGTCTTGAACTCATATCCAATAGCCTCTAGTGCTTTTAAACTCTATACAGTAGAAACATGTCAGGTACTTCCTGATGAGATGGCATGTTCACCTATTTGTATGTTCTATTTTAAATATAAGAATGCCTCAACTCATTTTCAAGTTCTGAAATACTTAATAAAAAAAACATCTTCTGATACTCACGTATCTTTCCCAATCAATTTCTGCATAAAATCCATTTGGTGCCCCATTGCTTTTCTTCTGTAATAAATTTGAAAATAAATTTAGAAGAGGAACATTTGAATGAAACAAAAGAGGAATAAAGAATACTTAACTCTTATTTTATTTAGCAAGAGCTATCAAAATCCAGGGCTGGAAAGACAAATTAGAGCAGCCTATTAAGTAACCACCTTGGTGTAACTGAATGATAAACTGAGCTGCTGTGATACTGCATAATAGAGCTCACATACTTATCTCACAAAAGACTGTAGAATACCTGAACATAGGATATTAACTACTAGCTGTTCAAATTTTATTCAGTTACCAAAGAATTAGAAGCACCTACATTATAATTGGATCCTCTATACTTTTGAAGGATAAAACCATATATATAAATGAAAACATTTTGACTTCCATTTGCTCTCATATGCAGGTAGTTCCAGCATATCCAAAGAGTATTCATCCAAATTAACTAAGCTTTTAACTTTTCTAATACTGACTCAATTTTTTCCTAACCAACCCCTTGATAAAGGAAATCAGCTCCAAATTAGTTAATTCAGCTCCTAGGTATTAAAAGTAGTGTTGATATTCTTTACAAGTGGTTTTTCTTAACAAACTATTAAAATAGAATCAGGATTAATTGTGATGTCTGCCATCCATGTGTCCGATGCGTCCATGAACACTCATCATTGCAAGATGATTGGACATCAGCATTACTCTCTCTGGATCATCTTCAAGTTCTAGTTTGGCCCCTAACACAACTATGATATATGGCAACAGCACTTGAGCAACGATGTTGCCTCATCTAAAGGGAAATTACGAGGCTTCTATACTTTTCTTTTTAAAGATTTTATATATTTATTTTTAGAGAGAGGGAAGGGAGGCAGAAACAGAGGGAGAGAAACATCATTGTGTGGTTGCCTCTCACATGCCCCCAGCTGAGGACCTAGCCCACAACCCAGGCATGTGCCCTGAGTGGGAGTTGAACCGGCAACCCTTTGGTTCACGGTCCGGCATTCAATCCACTGAGCCACACCAGCCAGGGCTAGGATTCTGTACTTTTATAAAAAATATTTTATTTATTTATTTGTAGAGAGAGGAAAAGGGAAGAAAAAAAGAGAGGGAGAGAAACATCTATGTGCAAGAGAAACACTAATCATTTGTCTCTTGCACAAACCCCACTGGGGACCTGGCCCACAACCCAGGCATGTGCCCTGACTGGGAATCAAACCGGTGACCTTCTGATTTGTGGGAGGATACCCAATCCACTGAACCACACCAGTGAGGGCAGATTCTATACTTTTTGAGAGCAAAGGACGAAAACACAAATTAGGCTGGTTAACGGAGGGTTCATTCAACAGCATTCCAGTATGTGGCACACGGAGAGCAATGGTATGTCACTGAGCACCAGCCGATCCCAGAACAACACATATTAAATGGTGACACACGAGGCTTGAAGACAGGACCTCTAATTTTGCAATCACAAATGAAGGCCACTTGGACCACAATGTGAGCAGCTAACACAATTTGACAAATAGGTGAGACAAGTAAGCTTTTAATGTTTACATGTAGGACCACTAGAAAACCAAATTAGAGGTAATGCGTCATCACTGATTAATACTTACTGAATGTTTACTGGGCATTCTAAGAACCAACAGCTTAGTAAGGGTGAAAAGTGTGTAAGAACAGATAGTATGTTCAAGCCTTCTTTCTTCCCTATGTGTTACCACTACTCTAGAATTCACAAGTGCAAGAATTCTGCCCATGTTTCCACAGACCAGTACCCAGGAACACAGGCCCTGTGCCCCTCCTCCTTTTTCCTGCTCTTGAAAAAGATTATGTACTCAGACTACATCATTTTAACTTTGCCTTCGTTGAAGTGGTGCTTCACTGACATTCTTTCTACTTTGAGCTAAGGTTGCTTTAAAAACCTGTAACATCAACTTCGCCCCTGTATAAGCTATAAAGCTATTGTTGAGGACATGGTCCATTAAATAATATGCCAGCTTAATAATAAAACATCTCTTTCATGGGGAATGGGCATGGTTCCTCTTTTCTTTTTGCCATGTTTGATTTCTTTTTTAATTCCTACTTTACCAATCTGTTTGCAATGTCTTTCCAAAATTCTCCAAATCCTTCTCAGATAGTATATGTAATAAATTTAACACACAAACTTAACTTATAATAATGGGAATCAAATGAACTAAGTTGATTCCACAGAACTAAACTCATGAATTTTGTGACCAGTATAGTACTACTATTAACAGACCTTTTAGTTCTTAAACAACTCTTCAATACAAAGGATTGTTATCTAAAATCCAAAGAGATTAGGTAACAGTAAATTACTGAGTTCAGAATTTTCAGTTCTATATTTTGCCTGCATGATAATTTCATTCCATAACAATGCCCTTCAAAACCAAGATAGGTGATGTGTTTAGATGAACAAATGTGTGTTTCTTTTCTTGAGAATATAGGTCCAATCTTAAAGATAAAAAAATCCTGAATTTTCTGAATATTCTAGATCTGGGCTAAGTGAAAATTTCCTTGTTTCCACGGAAACCAAAAAAGATTGAGTTGAAGAACAAGCAGAACCTATAAAATTTTTTCTTTTAAAATAGGAACATTCTAAACATAAATACTAACACTAACCAAATACATTCCTTTTGGCAGATAGGTATTCAAAACACAGCTTTATTAGAGAAATTAGCTATTTGGCCTCATTTGTGCTAGTGAATTCTTACAAATATATTTGTTTTCACAAGTGGAAATTATCAAGTTAATGGTAGACAGAGTCTCGCTGAAATTCTTCTGGTAAACCCCAAGAGAGAAACAATTCTCCTGGTTTAGCCACTTAAACATGTGTAGCTCCTAATGGTAACAGTGAAGATAATGGCTCTATTGATTTTCAACTGGAAAACTTGGAATATGCAAGGGAGAAGATAAGTAAAGTGGGGAAATATTTAAAAACTAGGCTTAATAGTACAAGAAATATTGGCTATTCATCAACATATAAACAGTGATATTTTCCCCTTGGAGTTACACATTATTTTACTTTTCTCTTTTGTGTGTGTTCCAAAATTCAATACTTTGCATAAGTAACCTTTATTACTTGAATATACAATTATTATTTAAAGATTATTGAGGCTCACAGCAGTGTTAATCTTGTTTTAATAGGTATTTCACTTTGGTCAGGCTTATAATCAGTTTTCAGATAATAAGATGGGCTAAATCAACGGATGTAATAATAACTGTGTTTTATCATACATTCATCGAAGTTCTCAGTTTCCACTGGGAGTTTTCTGTCAGCTCATGGCCACACAGTGATCTGCAGGTAAGAAATATTCAAGACGCAGGATGTACTGCCTAAATATTATCTTTTTACACTGAGGTTGACTTCACTAACTTTGCAAATAGTCCTATAGAACAGCACTGTCCAATAGCACTGTCTGGGATGATGGAAATGTTCTATAAGTGTGCTGTCCAATATGGTAGCCACTGGCCAAAAGTGGCTATGGAATACCTCAAATGTGGCAGTGTGATTGAGAAACCGAATTTTAAAGGGCCACAAGTGGCTGCCATATTGAACAAAGTTATTGCATATAGCCTGGGCGGAGGTCAGCACCCTTGACTCGACATCCTTTGGTAAAGTATACTGTTTCCCACAAGCCAAGGTCGTGCCAAATTCCTAACATTACTAAGATAATGCCAATCCTAAAAAAGGATTACTCAATTTGTATAGTCATGCTTATGTTAGAGCCAAATATTTCTTATAAATAAATATTTTTAAAAATCTGAATAATTTCCTTTGTCTCAAAGGAAACACATATCTTTTATGCCTGATCACTCTTTATAAGTATATTCAGACATCAGTATATAGAGTCTACCAAGTTGATTTAAAAATTGGCCCCAGGTTATTAAAAAAATAATTTGGAAATAACTAAAAAAGACTCTTCTTAAGTGGAGTAAATAAATGCTACTCTTTTTTTCAAGTTTCAAATTGGGATTTTACTCACTGTTTCTACATACCCCTTGGAAATTTTAAACTAAAATCTGTTTCCTCAATGAAACTTTTTTCCTCTTTCCCTTGCACACCATGGTTTGTTGTCGTAGGGTGGATCCTGTGGGCTGGGCTGCTGCAATTGATTGTTTTCATGTAGAAAAAGTTAAAGGATCTGTTTGTTCTTCAAGACACATATAAAGAATCACATGGAGTAGCAAACATAGCACGGAAGAAACAATTCCTAGGCCAAATTGTAGGGCCTACCAATGTTGCAGGTTTGCTTAAACAAAGAGTGGACTTTGGGGCCATAATGAGGCTCTATTCAGCAGGCCAGTGTAGCTAGGTCAAGAGAAGAAGAAAGAAGGAGGAAGATACAGCCCAGGCACTGGGGATTATGTGGATCTATTATTCCAGTCCTTATTCAGCCAGCACTTAATTTACAGGTAGAGAACAGATACCAGGACCCAGTAAGACTGAATAAAAATTGTATTTCTAATCAAAGTACGAAAGGCCTAGCTCTACCACATTTTACCCTAGGTCAAAACCTTCCTGAGGGTCTTTAATACATGTTGCACACACAGTTAATAGCTCCAAATCTGGGCCCTATCCTGCATACCTACTCAGGTTGAGCAGAGACGATGCCCCTAATCTATGTGTAGATGAAAATCTAAGCTGTTTAGGAAAAAGTTAAAATGTATCCTGCATGATTACAGTTTGTCTCTGGGTTAAAATGCATTGTAACACCAGCTGTCCCAACTCACAGACACCACGACAGACCGTTCTGCAGAGGACAGGTACCTTGAGCCACGTGGGGAGCAAGGCAAGTCCACCTTCATACGTGGAACCCTGCCATGAAACCTCTGTAGATGAGTCTGCAAAAGCATTGTCAATGGAGATGGGCTTCATTGGATTTTGAGAAACTGAAATATGCTTAAGTACATTAAACCTATTGTGTAGCTCTGTGTTGACAGTCATTTATAAGCATTAAGTGGGTGCACTACCACCTATAGTTTGTAGAACTATGTCAGTGAAACCATAAATTTCAACTTTAGTTATCCAAAAGACAATAATTTGGAAGCTAAATCAGCCATGTAAGAATAGAGCAGGTCCACAGACACAAGGTTTTAAAGTAATCAATTTGAGTTTGAAATAAAATCAGGTTCAGGTCTCTAAGGACTGAATGCAAACAGCAACTTGGATCCCTATGGCACTGGTATGATAAGGAGTTTTCAAATTTGTGACCACAGTTAGTAGGGAAAACCTGGGGAACAGTTCCAAATAGTAAACCTAGCAGCTGGATAATAATTTCCAATTAGCCATAGAAGCTGCACATCCTGTTTCAGAGAACTAGCATTCATTTGAATGTAGCTTTTTTAAACGGGTCTGTGTTATTTCCTAAGAAATCAAAATTAAATAATTCCCCTTTCCTAATAATCATGACCAGAGATATTTATGGTATTTCCAATTGAGAAACAAAGAGGGTACAAGCACTGATAAATAACTTTATATGACTTGGAATGGTGGTGGTAAAGGAGAACCTGGGGAGCTCCAGTACAAAGCCCTGAGCTAGAGTAGACAGGTCCACACAGCGAGGTTCATCAATGCAGCACGTGCTCACTCCATGCCAGCAATGCATCAGGCCCCTGGGCACATAATCTACCAGAAATTTAAACTGGTGGTCCCTAGAAGAGCAGGGAACACTGAGGTGGCAATGGGGCCTCACAGACAATGAGGGTGGGAAAGGCTTCAGAAAAAAGGAAAAAGGACAAGACTCAGGGTGGCAGAGGGAAAGAAGCAAGAAATAGCAATCCAGCCTGGGAGCAGCAGGGAGAGAAAGCAGAGGATAGCTAACAGAGCCTTGTGGAAGTTGGAATGGAGGGGACAAGAGAACCTAGGGAGGGAACCCATACAGAAGCAAAGAGATGACACAGAAGCAGAGAGTACCTGAGACAGAGTTAACGAGAGGGCTCTGAGCCAGAAGCAAGAGGTGAGGAGAAGCTGAGTCTTCTGGGTCTTTTTTTTCCCCTGCTGAATAGAGCCTTGATTATAGTGTTACCCAATGTCTGATAAATTTCAGTCTATTTTCTTAACATTTCATGACAAGAACTACATGAATGCTACAGGCACCCCAAAGCTAGGAACCTTGAGTCAAGTGTGGGAGAAAACCTGCTATAGCTGCAATTAACACCCCAATGTAGGTAAAATATTATAAAGGGTAATTTTTCAAAAAAATATTTTTAACCACCAGGTTTATTTTAGTTCCCACTCCAGTCCAATAAGCCTAATGTGAGTCCCTTTTTTTTTTTTCAGTAACAGCTGTTCTTTTGAACCTTTTGAATAGGCATCTGATTTAGATTTGGAGGAAGTCATTTTAGAAGTGGGTGCAGACTCCCATAAGCACAACTCGGATAAATCCAAGCCAAGGGACCACAGACTTCAAAAATCAAGAAATCTGGGGACCAGCAAGGAGTCAGAGTTACTATTAAATCTAAACCCTCGGTGGACACACTTTTTTCCTTCAGGCTGCAAATTCAGGCATAAGTGGTTTCAAGACCATTTCCTCCTTCAGGCTGTAAATTCAGGCATAAGTGGTTTCAAGACCATTCCCTACTTGTGAATTTAATATAGAAAATGTATCTGCAGCTCAACTATGAAAGGGGAAAAGCTCCTTTCAGTTTTATTGGATCTCAGCTCCATTATGACTTTGCGGCCTCTGTTGGAGAAAAACATTCTCACATAATGAGTTTTTATATCATTAAATTGGAAATGAAATAACAGTTGATGGCAGCAGCCCCCGCAGGAACTGTCTGGTTTTTGACCCACCATATTGATGACTAGTTTGCCTGCCTAGTCTGGGGCAGGGCTTTAGGTGAATGCCATAAATAAGTTTAATATGATCAAGACTGCATTTATGTTCCATGCAATTACTACAGAAAATTATAACAATAAGAGGTCTGAAAAATCATATAAGCTATTTTTTCCCTAAGAAAAAAATGGGGTTTTAAGAAATTTAACCATAGCTTATATTAAAGTGCAAACCTACTGAAAATGATTGTTTAAATACTTACAATTCCATCTCTATCCGGTGAACCTCTGTAACAAAAAGAAATTTGTAGCTATTAGGAAAATGAATTGTTCTCACTACACAAAGCATCTTAACAGGAAGAAACACTAAGCACCTCTCTTCCCTTTCCCGCATTCACACCGCAGTAAACCTATCTAATGCAAACTAAACCAAAACACATCATCTAGTGGTATTTGAGTGTGGGGTGTGTGTATCTGTGTGCAGGAGGGAGATTCTCATTAAAACTTGAAGTCTACAAGGACAAATTGCTGGAGCAGTGTTTTGGTTGCCTTTTAGAGAAGAGCTCATTAGGCATCTGTCCCAGTCTAGATGGCTCCATTTAAAACTACTGCAGGGAATGCAAACCAGTTCGCTCTCTCTCATCTTCTCCCCTATGAGGGGTCTTGAATTTTCACCCTGAGTAGGAATTTCTATGGTATCGTTGAACTTACTTTGAGAATCTATATTTTCTTCCATATTTCTCTATTGACTCTTCCTTTGATTATAGGAAAGAAGGAAATGGAGGGCAATGTTTCTGAAGGGCTCACTCTGATGACCGAAGGGTAATTGGAAGGGTAGCACCGTGGCACTATGCTCCAGGTGCTTAGGAGTAAGGGCTTTAGAATAGGATGAATCTGAGTGTCCAGACTCTGTAAGCCACTTATTAGTTCTGTGACCTTGAACACATTACCTAACCCCTGTAAGCCAGTTTAAATAAAACAATATATATCTACAAAGAATTTATAATAGTTCCTGACACACAGCAAGTTTTAAAAAATGTTGGCTATCGCTGCTTTTTCTTCTGTGATGTCTCTGCCCTAAGAACACAAAACTGTCCATCTGAAGCCACATCAGACTTTGTTGTAATAGAGGAAGGCTGTCATTGTTATTTTGAAAAACTGAATTGGAGGAGCCAGAGGAAGGGAAAAGCAAGACGGTGGACTGTGAAATCTTGAGGAGTGTGGTATGTTTGGAACCTGCTGTAGGAGGTGGGACCAGATAATGAAATTATTTATTTATTTATTGCTTCATAGGGTGGGCAGAGAGAGGAATGCAGAGAGTTAGTGGGACATCTCCCAGGTTTTGAGATGTGACTCTCCTTCCTCATCAATAACTCCTTCTACATTAGCAGAATATTTTTAATTCGATTACAAAACACTTAGTAGGGGTGCATCATTTTTCATAACCAGCTCTGTGTCCATGGGGATGAAGAGGATAGAAGCAGAGAGGATGCTGATATTGAAAGACCACTGGAGTTGGCAGAGGGTATTCTGACATTCCCTGGCTATGGGAATTAGTTGATTTAAACAAATTTCATCTAAAATAGAAGAATAGGAAGAGTCTTAACTGATAAAAGTTATATCTCATTGAACAAATAGTGAATGCTTATAATGGGCCAGGCACTAGGCTAGGATCTGGGGATAAAAATAATGAAGACATGCTCATCATAGATGAGAGAGGTAAGTAATCCAGTGAGTTGTCAGGGCCACAATAGGCTCAGGTTGGTAGGAAAGCACAGAGAAAAGGTACCAACTCACACTCACCAAAACCAACTTTTCTTTTCAGAACTATTGGGTTAGACATAAAGTCTGTTTAGTTTTTTTCGTAAAATAAGACACATGTTTTGTTTTCACCAATAATGTTATTGATTTGGATATTTTGAGTATGTCAGCTATCTCCCACATGGTAGAATGTTGATTCCTCTCAATTCATGTCTTGATTTGATCGCTATTAACTTCAACTCATCTACCTGACCATGGGGCATCGTCCGTGAGAAATCTCCAGCATGAAACTTTGCAAACCACTTTCCATACATTCAGTCAGTCATAGAACCTTCTCCACACACTGCACAAATCTGTTTTGCATTTCAGTTGCATTTTTATCTTTCTTGAAATAATAAAGCATAATATGCTGAATATGTTGCATATTTTCTTCCATGTTCAATATTAAAATGGCTACACAAAAATTCACCAAGTTTAATAAGTTTTTTTAAGTGCTCGCTTATATGACAGCTTCCACAATACAATCTAACAAAATTGTTTCAAATGAAGTTAAATACAACTAGGTACTACTAGAGCCATCTTACAGAAAAAATCAAATGAACTTTTTGGCCAACCCAATGTATATAGTGAAAACAAACATTTCTTCCTAGAATTTTAGCTTCTGCTAAAGGAATTGAGAAAGAGGTGATTGTAGTAACTTTTGCATAGGATAAATCCAGAGGCACTGAAATTTGTGGGGATATCTTTGGGAGCAGCAAGTAATAAACAGGGAGAAGACAAGTCTCTGGAGATAGGCCTGGCTATAGTGTTGCCCACTACTGGTCCAGATACCAGGGCATATCTATAGGGTATCTTACATGAGAGGCCACTTGACCTCTATATTGCCTCTATAAGGATGGCATTTCAAAATTTTAAATCAGAAAAACTATCATTGTATATAGCAGCATTGGTGTCTTCTGATCCTTTGTCTTACCTACTGATGAAAATGGGGTTGGTGCCTCCTAGTGTGATGGCAGTAAGCATGGCAAGTAAGAGCTCTGGCTCTAGTGCTAGACACCTGGGTTCAATGAGCCTATATTTCGTAGCTGCACAATCTTGGGTATATCACTTCATCCCTTTGTGTCTCAGTTTCCTCATCTATAAAATAGCCATGATAATAGCATATACATATACTCCATAGGACAAGTAGAGAATTCAATGAGTTTATAAAAGTAAAGAGCCTGAAGTAGTGTCTAGAAGATAGTAAATGCTTATTAAATGTCATATAGAATAAAATCGCTATGTAATATGACCTAGGATGGGGCACAGAGTGATTTTAGCAGCATTAGACACTTGGGCATGTATTCTCAATTCACTTCATAACCCTTTTTCTGAAATTTCATATTTTATTTTGAAATGATTTAAAAAAATTTAATAGCAGACCATTATATTTACTGACTTCTATTTTAAAATTAACCATCGACCATGGGCCCTTTGCCTTTGTTTTAAAAAGTGCCAGTTACCTCCCACAACTACTGCTTCTTCTCAGTTATCCTCCTATTGGCCTTGATGACAATTTTGCCCATCTATTCTTTTCTTCTGGGTGATAAAAGCCTAGGCACTTGATTCTGGACTAAAATACTGGTTTCAAGTCTTATTTCTGGGTAGCCTTCAGCAAATTACTCAATCTCTTTTGGCACTGATTTCTCACCTCTAAAATTGAGATATGATTTCTAACCTTATTGAATTACTGTGAGGATTAAAAGGAATATCAGTACATACAATTTATCCTGCACAGGGCCTCCCACTTAGCACAGGCTCCTTCCTTTCCCCTCTCTATCAGGCACTGTAATGATTAAATCAGGAAGCTCTGGTTCTAACCCTACTCTGTATCTAAGGAGGTTGGATCAGCTGAAGTTGGGGATGGTGGTACCAAGCAGGTGGCGTGGCAACCCTGAGGGAGTTGCAACAGCTCTGAAAACAGTTTGCATCAACAAAGTTTCAATGATGGCAGATCATTGCCTAAAGCTGAAGGGACAGCAAATTCCCAGAGCATTTTGCCAACCTTTCTAAAGAATGATATATGACCCAATTAGAGATCAGGGGCTTAGACTAAAGTGTTGGTCCTCTGACTATCATTGCCAGTGGAACCAATTTGATGGCTAATTCACTATCACATAAGTGTTTTGGGGTGCTCCAATGATAAGTTAAAAAGACATGCTTGGTATTCTACAAGCAAATATTTCATTAGAGTATTTCAGAGAGATATTGGGCATCCACCCAAATCCATGAGGAAAAATTCCTTATTTTCATACCTTTAGAAATGGTAATATAAGAACAGTGCTTTGGCCACAAGAAAATTAGCTCACCCTGCTCTGGGGAGGCTGTTTGACCTCTTTTCCCTTTTGAGGAAAATTTTTTTTGTTTTTAATTTTCTTCACACACCAGAGATTATGTGAAGTCAATTATAGACACTGTTTTCAAAGAAAAATAGATTTGGTTTCTGCTAATGTTCTCCTGAGATGCGTCTAATGATGTCCCACACAACCCATGGCACATTGTAGGTGACAGCAGACATTGCTGACAGACTGTACAGGGTCCGGCTCTTCAGGGAAATTGGATTCCATCTAGTGTAAGCCAAGGCCAAGGAAGGAAAAGTGTACTCCCAAGGCTGTGGGAATGTTCGCAATGCTGGAAGCAGAGAGGGTCTTTAGACTCCAGTCAAAGAACCATCACCTGTTCTGGGGGTTGTTTAGAGAATGGCAACTTCTTAAGAAACAATAGTAATTATGTTGTCCTTAAAAAAATTCCTAATTCAATTGTTTAGAAAAAAAATCCTAATTCAATTGTTTAGAAAAACAAGACTAGAGTAAATGTGAATTCCATGAAATAATTTTTTACTAAAAGAAAAAGCAAAAAGAAAATGTAAGAACAGGTGGCTTAGTATTTGATATCTAGATTTGAAAATTGCTTTTATTTCTCCCAATCCTTTATGTTCTCTGGCTTAAAAACCTCCGAGGCGCTGAGGTTGCCCACTGCCTGCAGGAGGAAGCCCAGACACCACAGCCTGGCACTTCCTCTCTGGCTCTGATCTGCTTTCCAGACTTGCCCCCAGTTTTCATTTTTACCTGTAGCTGACATGTAGGCAAACTGCTCTGTTTTGCACTAAATACCAATAGACTTTTCCACCTCTCTGCTTGGGCAGCTGTTGTTCCTTTTGCATGAAATGCCTGTTCTTAACATGAAGGTCAAACTTAAATCTCCTCCCTCCCTGAAACTTCACTGATCATCTATCCAAATGTGAGCTTTCCCACCTTCAAATTCCGATGAATTCCATTTTTAATTGCTTACAAGGAACTTACCACATATTAATTAGTATTAGTAATATTAAGAGTAGTAGTTGGTGCCATTTACTGAGCATTTATTAAGTACTAGATACCATAATAGTAATTTCAAATGTCATCTCATTTTGTTATATGGAAGATATTTCAGTTTGTGTGGTAGATATTTTATCCCATGAATTATAAAATCTTGGAGGACAAGGACACAGTGGAATGCTCAGTATCCTGTGATAAAATTATGCATGGTAAAAATGTAAAGAAAGAAAATCTAAGGGCAATAAATAAATGTAACCTTCTTCATTTTCAGCTGCGCCCAAACAAGTATTGCTTTTCCTATTTTCTAACTTTCTTTCATGGATTCCAGCTAAATGGTGGGTGTAATGTCTCATTATTCTGATATATAGCAGACCACACCAGCTCTTCACTTTTATATGGCCATCACCACCTGCAGGTGAGTAGTGGTGTTCTCCTCTCACTGGTTTTGGGCTGGAATTCTGAGTTCCTGGCCATCCTACTTCCCATGTGTGAGTTACCTGCCTGGCTCAAAAATGCACCTGAGAGTTTGTGTCAAAGCTAGATACTCTAAAGGAGAACTTGAGACGGTCAAATAAATGCAATAAAATTATTGTATCATTGGACATTTTCAAGATGGCTTTATCAGTGTCTATGGGCAATCGATGATCTTGGGTGTGATCATTTAAACATGGAAAAGTATCTACAGGGTTGTTTTTTAGTACTGGTTTTCAAATCTTATTTGCAGCCAAATAGCCTATCATTCCTGTGAATTCTGTTGGTTGATTTACAGTTCTGCTTGTACAAAATCTTGGCATCTCAAGTAAAAGCTTTGGAATGTTATCTAGACTAATTTCTGTTTCTGGCTCAGCCTAATCTACCTAAACAGGTGTTTGCTTCTTCATTTCAGTTACTTGGGCAACTGTAGAGATGGAAATGAATACTTTTAGTCCCCACAGAAGTTACAATAACACTTCCTGCCTCCTAGGACTTCTGGAAAGTGTGGTTATCAGGTTATAAAGTAATAACACAATGACAAATTGAACATGTGATGAAAAGTCTTTATCTTTGTAGCGTAAATCTAAGAACTGTTTATGCTGAACAGCTACAGTTTACCCAGAAATAGAATATTACATTTTATCCAGGAGGACTCTGTGTACTATGACAATAGCATTCTTTGTCAAACAGCTTCTCTGAGGAGGCAAACTTTTAAAGTACTTACGTAGAGTCAGTGTCCTTTTCTTTCTTTCGTATTCCAAAGGCCTTCCTTGTACGTTTTTTCAATCCTGTGGGAAAACAACAAAGGGTCAACGAAATCTATTTTTCTATTTGAATGTTCCTGGCAACATTCATATGAAAATATTTTTAAAAGTTGCAACATGTCCCTTAAAGTTAAATGTTCAAAAGCAGTGAAAGTTTCTTCAGTTGGATGTACATGTATGCGTGAGTATGTGCATATGATTCACTATTGTTTTTTTCAACAGATGTCTATCAAAGATTCAGCACTGTAAGTGCCTAGCACCATCCACAACTTAAGTATGTAAAAGAATGAAAGGGAGGTCAAGGCATGGTATAGAAAAGATTGCAAGCTTTTCTTAGAATGTTGTTAATCATTACCCTAATTGGTGCTGCCAAGAAACCAAATTACAAATGTAGAAGAATAGCAATTTCTAGGTTAGTCACATTCTTGAGACTTGGGTAATTCCAAGACACCAACTATGTAAACCATACCAAGAGAGCTCCACTGACCTGACACATCTTGGTATCCGATATTTCCATCTCATCTTATCCTATTTCAATTCTATGGCTAGACTGAATTACTAGCCATTCTTTGAATTATCCCAACATCTGTACTCAGGCATTCCTTTTCCTTATCTTTGGTTGAAATGCTTTTCCTATTTTCTTGCTATTTAGAATTTTAATTCACCCTTGAAGGCCTAGCCAAATGTTACCTCCTCAGAGAGGATGTCTCAGTCCCAATGGTGTAAGAAATTGACTATTCTGTGCTTTTCCAAAATGTTGCTCTTATATGTATTGTAATAGGTCAAACTGTTCCACTTAAAATTTCCTGTATCAGTTTCCCTAATAGGTTGTCAGCCTTCTTATGACAGAGGTCAAGGTTCCTACATTTGTATATCCCTTACACCTAATACAAATAGCATATAGTACTTATTGATTTAAAATATCTTCCAGGAAGTATCATTCAGGCAGTATTGGGGTATGAAGACTCCTTTCTTCCATCCAGGAAAAACAGGCCCAGTCTCAATTTTGCCTTTTCTTATCCTGTCAAGGCTTTGTTTGAGATTCCCATTTCCAGTGCATTCCACTTACTTCTGTGACTTATGTCTCTTATGTTAATGAGTATTATTCAAACATGCTAAATGCCTATATATTCAAAACCTTAGTTTTTTTTTTTTTCTGGTCATTTGGAAAGTCTTCTTGACAAATTGGAGTGGAAAAGTCACGGAGTTTCAGGATTTGTTTGGCGCTATCAGGTGGAACAAAGGGGAAAACACTGACAGAATGAGTGATTTGATGACACCTTCTTTCAAAACATGTGAGTCAGCCTGAACTGCTCAGATTATCTGAGTCATTCATTATTTGGCTTTCAGCGTACCACTCAACTCTAATCTCCAAAATGCCTCTGTTCTGTCTGATTTTGTACTTTCATAGTCATTTTATATAAAACATTTAGGTTTTTAAAATGTCAATGTTTGTTTTAAAAAACCTCCCACATAAAAACTATTTTTCATTTCTCTCCACAGGAGTTTTCAGAAAAATAAAGTTATTGACATTTGAAAAGCTACTCACCCACAGTATTTAGAAACACCTTCCCTCCCATCATTTTTAACTTTGATTGTTAAAAACTTTCTTTCCTCTCATTTCTAATTGCCTTATCTCCTTACAGGGATAAAAATATCAGTTACAATCATCATTTTTTCCTTTAATTTTCCTTGGGTTTTGAGTCTCTTAATTGGTTTCTCCATTCTTCGAATTTAGCTTTGGCTTCACAATGAATGCCATATTCACCAATCATTACTGATTTTTGGGGGGCCATAAAACAAATGCTATTATTGTCATATGTTTTCCAATCACTTTACTTTCTATAACTTTATTATGATTAAGAAATAGCATGCCCTACCAAACAGATCAGAAAATACACACAGATTCCATTAAGTCTTATATTAAATTAGTAACAGAGCAGGCAATAGTAGTTTTCCATAGACTGTACTGTTTTTGACCACCAATTTGGACAACAGCCAATCGGAACTAGGTCATGAGTGTCATGAGTTGTCCATTTTCCAGTGAAAAGTGTACTGGATCAGGATCTAGGAGACATAGAATCCATTCCCAGGATCATTTCTAACTGTGGAGCTGAATACAAGTTACATCCATTTTGCAGTTTGAGTTCTCATTCTATAACAAATCAGCCAGTAAAAAAGATCAAAGAATTTACACACGTTCACAAAATGCATGCTAATCCATAGCTTTACTTTCATTAAAAGTCATGTTTCCCATGCACAGAATACAGTTATATGTGAAATGTATACAGGAATGCACCAGAGATGTGACATTCCAGAAAATAAGACTAATCCAATTGTTGAATAAAAAGAATCATTGAAAACTTTCCCCCTTAAAAAGTAGAAAAGATTCGGGAAGTTTAGGAAAGCAGGAAAGAAAGCCATGGAAGACAAAAGCAAACAAAGTATAAAATGTAAAAGTCATTCCTATCTCAGCAGCTCTTTGAGAAAATGAAGGAACAATTATACCAACTGTGTTCAAGTGAATGAGGAGGTGTGTGCATGTCTTTCAAGAGTTTATTTTAAAAATTCAAAGAAATTCTTTGAAAAAAAGCAGTGACAGTCAAAGACCTTACAGGAATCACAGATTTCAGACACTATATATGATAACTTGATAAGCTTAAAAAAACACACTTTATCACATGATTCTTCATTCATGACTCTAGAACTCCATGAAAAATTTAAAGTCATTTTCTACAGTGTAATTTTTCCCAGACCGGGTCATGAATCTTTTGTCAACTATTTTTTACCAAATGTGGGAGGGAAAAATAGTGTTTTTGAGAATTGAAGTGACTTTCCCTTGCCAATATCAAAACAGAGAGCTCAAAAAGGAAAAAAGTGTTATTGTTTTGATGATCTGGGACTAGAAGGACTCTTTCCCAAGCTGTGGAACTGAGAATATCTTCCTCGTGCATCCAGAACTGCCATCTTAGACATTGGATTTAGACAAACAGATGTTAGATTTCTGCAAGAGCATTTAGGTTCTGTTTATTATATATATAATCAAACTAATGAAGGTATGCCCAAACATTTAGTTTACTTTTTTTTCTAAATACAATGCCTCTTAAAAGCAAATCATTCTCCATCAACTGATGGATGGATAAACAAATGTCAAATACCCACACCATAGAATATCATTCAGCCATAAAAAGGAATACAAAATTGATATATACTATGACATGAATGAAGTTTGAAAACATTATGCTAAGTGAAAGAAGCCAGGTATAAAAAGGAACAATTAATACGATTTTATTTATATAAAATATCCAAAGTAGAATATTTCATTGATACACAAAGCATATTAGAGTTTGCCAGGGGCAGGGTGGAGAGAACAGAGAGAGTGGATGTTTAACAGGTAGGTACAAAGGTGATAAAAAATTATGGAACTAGGTAGTAGTGATGGTTGCACAACATTGAAAATGTACTAAATACCACAAAATTGCACACTTTAAAATGGCCAAAATAGGAAATTTTCTGTTATGTGTATTTTACCACACATGTGAAAAAAGACACAGACTAGTTCAAGCCAGATGCTTCTGTGATAGGAGAGGGGAAAGATGAAAGGGAGTGGGGAAGGAAAAAAAGAAACAGAATCTGTGGACACGCAGAATGGAGCAGAATGCATGGTCTTGGGATCAAATCCCAATTTGACCTTCTGTTGGTTGTCATTTGCAGCAAAGGTAATAGGGAATCTATGAGATATTGTGTTACTTTCTATATTAGATTCATGTCCTCACAGGTCATGAGCTTTGTAGGAACAGGGCTTAGTTTCTTTCTCTGTAATTGCTAGGAACACAGAGAAGTCAGCACTTGGTCACTGAGTGCCTCATATGTGCCAGGCATTATGCTGAGCACTTTATACAAATTAATTCTTTCAACAAGCCTGGAAGGTATTACTGACCCACTATTTTGTGGATTAACAAACAGACTCAAAATGCTTAAATTCCTCTTCCAATGTCACTAAACAAACAAGTGATAAGACCAAGATTTTGAGTCAGGTTTATTTGGCTCTAAGCTAAGCAACTTCTTTTGGGGTGTTCATGATGATTCTCACAGTACCCAGGATAATGCCTGGTACACAGCGGATAGAACATCTGCGTTTATTTAACAATTTTTTTAAACACCACTGAAAGTTTGTATAATAATTAAAACAAAAAAAAAGAATGAATTTTTCTGATGTTTGCAATCTATATTCCATTGATGTTGAGGTTTTGATATTCACTTTTGTATATAGAATTAGTAAGGAAGAAGAAGGAGCCCCGTACAAGCACAGGATGTACCTATTTGAATGCACAGGCATTAGGCCATTAGCCCTCACCCTGGGTGAGGGCTGTGCTATGACCCCACCATGTTTTGAGGTGAAGAATGTACACAATGGCACATTGAAAAGCTTGATTTAGCCCAAAACACATATTACAAATAAAAATGAGTAGATATAAATTTATTAAGTACACTTATACTGTTTTAAAAAACATGTCAGGAACTCCCTTATCTTAGCCCAACACAACCTTATAAGGTGGGAGCTACTATTGTATTGAGTATGTACCTACCGTGGGGCATGAGGAGTAACTGGTGCCAGATCACACAGGTGGTAACCAGCTGACCACTTCTCCAAGTCCCTCTGCCTGACTCCAGAGTCCATGCCCTTCATGTCTTTGGAATATCTTTCTGTTTCTCATCATAATTCATTTTGACCTCTTATTAAAAACAAACAAACATACATGCAAAAAAAAAAAAACCTTGGTTTTTTTAAAATTGGGAGACATTTTTAGAAAAATTGGGCTGCATGTATCTCAAACACAAAGACTATATTTTGCATATTTAAATCTTTAAATGCTACCCAACAAACATAAGAAGACTCAAACATGTTTGCTAAAAGAATTATTTCTATAATAAATATAAATGTTTTGTTTGAATCTTCATCAGCTTGGAGGGTTACTCAAAGGCGAATCACATATAATGGAATTACTTACTTTCTGCAAGAA